ATTTGTCTCTTTCTGTGTGCTAAGTACCCCAATTCCATCTGCCGAAACTAACAGTGGATTATATAAGTCTCAAGAAGAGCGCCACTTGGTAGTCTCTTCAACGCTGGGACCGGCAGCGGTTTGGAAGTGTAATTTTGAGGTTTTGCTTTACCTTCTTTCTTCGGCTTTACATCACTTTGTTATATTATTAAGGCTTATTTAAGGGCGACGTCCTGAGCTTTAATCAGGAGTTTGTTCTCAAACAGTCGGAAGAATACGATACAATCACATCTGCTTGTGTGGTCAAAGATCTTATAGCTGTCGCTACATATTCTGGAGTTTGTGATTTGGTACATTTCAGCCTAGCAGTGTTTGCAGTACATTTTTCAGAAAATCCTCTTCTATTCCTCAAATTGTGATCTACTAAGTCACGAGATTGCATCGATTACTCAAATTCATGCCCCGCTTGTGACGATGAAGGTGTGATTAGCAGAATTTTCTTTTTCATCCTTTCTCTTAGTTAATCTATTTTTCTTTCGAAGAGTTAAAATTCTGAAATTTAGTTTTTTTCCCTTAGTCTGTTTCTTCATCTTGCTACAATAAATCTCTTTATGAACAATGAGATACAATTAAAGCTCAAACAAGAAAAGTTCAAAGTTTGATTTTTTGAATGAATCCCGTTAAAGACAGTGCCACGCGAAATTTGATCTTTTATTCATTACTTCTGAATATAATACGTCAGAAACAAGCTTTCCATGCCTCTCCGGATTGGGTGTTGGTGATCATTGTGTGGCGCGATTTGAGCGTTTGCCGATAACATCGATACTAATTTTTTTGCTAATAGCAGTTCATGGATAGGACTGAAACAGCTGAGACATGGTCGCGGTTATGAAATATGCTGAGAAGCGCGGCGAATAGAGACTTGCGTACAGAGATTTTCTCACTCATTTCTGATTATTTTTTTAAGGCCAAATTGAGGAGCCGACTATAACAATGTAATGGCTTGCCTGAATACTGCCTTTATAATTTGGAAGTTTTTTGAAGATCTTGACAAAAAAGTGAAAAGATCTTGGTCTTTTCATTTTTTGTCAAGATCTTTACGAAAATAATTTGTGTATAATTTATGTGCAAACATTGGCAAGGAATTTTAACTCTAGTGCTATACAGACGTGATTTCATCATACTTCAGTGAATGTTTCAAAGGCAAATTTTTTCCTTTGTACATTTTTGTTTTAGGTATCCGACGACAATACACTATATGCCCTGTCTACAGCAGGATTACACACTGTCATGCGCAACGATTCCTGATATTTCCACCCAATCGTTTTTCAAGTTCTCAACAAAAAATAATTTATTCCTGAAACCCAATAAAAATTCTCTGATTGATCTTTCTTCAGTGTTTGTAAAGTCGTTTTATCGCAGCATATTTATTCCCATTTGATTTAATGCGTGTTTTGCTTGATTGTTTCCCATAATGTTTGCATGAATGCAGCAATCGCAACTGCTCCGGGGTCTGGTTTTATTTGGACCTGAAAAAGTAGCTTATATGACCGGAGATTTAGAATAAATTTGATCATGAGTGTGCTTTCTCGTATTC